TCCCCCCCCCCCCCCCCCCCCCCCATACTTTTCACCTCAATGATGTGTTTCGTTCATTTTTAAAACATTAACAACATTGTATTTTGTCATCTTCGCACCGTTTAAGTTATAATTTGCTTCTTGGTGCTTCCACACAACTGAACAAAAATCGTGATGAAAAACCTTGTTGATGAGTACGTGCCTCCGGCGAGTCCACTTATGATACTGACAGCTCACATCGTTATCTAAAGTGTCCACTCAGACTCAGAACAGGATGAAGCTATGAGCCAAACACTTCTGCAAATGCGGGATATCGTGGTGAAATCAGGCTGTCGTCAAAACAATGAAATCAAAGATATAGCCTTTTCCTGACGGTTAGGCAATTTTTTATCGAATTATAGGTTTTTGGCTCAACACCTTTTATCACCATTTGAAAAACATTTTCTCTGTTGACATTTCTGAAAAACGTTTAAGAAAGGTTTTTAAAAAGTTAATTCTAAGTGTCCAAGGACTCTCAAGTTTTGGAAGTCACCAAACTTTGGCGGTCATTTTTTTGCTTATTTTACCACTGAAACCAAGTGATCCTTATCTCCTTCAATCACAAATATCTCGCCTTTTATTCAAGTTAAATGGGGGTTTTTTCATCAAAGAATATTATAAAATCACAAATGAATAAGCTTAAAGGTGATACCAAATAACTCCTCTTGGCCAAAAATAGACGAGCGCCTAATTCCACCACGTCGTGACAAAAATGTACTTGTTTCCTATTTAGATTTATCAACATGCTGATGAGCGCAGGCACAAGAGCGATGCTGACCCGAGCTATGTAGAGGGTTCAGAGTATAGTAGAGACAAGTGGAAGGGTGTAGGGATTGGTGACAGTGAACTCGGTGCAAAATCTAGGAATAGAACTAGACGAGCGGCAGTAGAAACAAGTAGTTGTGATCAGTGATAATGAACGTGATGAATTTGACATCGATGCTATGATCCAGGACCAAGCTCTGCCCCCTCTCCCCCCTCCCTTTTCCACCTTGCAAACATAAATGGAAACAGACAGAAGTTCTAAATCCAGCAGTTGGTACTGCCCCTCTGTAAGTGGACCATATTTGCTTGGCAGACTCACGCTAAGTTGGTCACCAAGGCAAATTATGTTGCACAGCAAAGTCCTTCTTCAATTTGGACAATTTAGTCTGAAACACAATTATTCTGATATATTCCAAAGTAACCTAAATTGTTCTTCTGTTGTTCAAACCTTGTTTTGTGCTCAAACTGACGTGAAAGGGTACGCATACGTTTATTTTCTCCACCCCCCCCCTCTCTCTCACTCACTCACTCTCT